ACCATAAATGTATATATATATATCTGAATCTCCAACTTTCATGGTAATCAGCTATATATACAAATATATATACAATATACAAAAATATATACTTGTAGCTGGTCACTGTGAAAGTTGGAAATTCAGACATATTTTGGATATAGACATAGATATATGAGGGGAGACCCAAAAAAGCCCCCAGAATTTATTTATAATAAATTGTATATTTATTGTTTGAATGTCATGTTTAAACTCAGTCACTTTCAAAGTACTCTCCATTGATGCAATACATCTATGGAGACATTTTTCCCACTGCTCAAAACAGTTTTTGAACACACTGATTTTGATGCCTTTTAGAGCTTCTGCTGTTTTTTATTTCACCTCTTCCACAAGGGCAAAATGGTTCCTTTGAGGACTTTTTTCATCCAGGGACACACACAAAAAAAGTCACTTGGGGTGAGATCCAGTGAATAGTGAGGGTGGGACACAGGGGTCATGCCATTTTTTGGTCTAAAACTGCTGAATACTCAGCACTGTGTGGGCAGGTACGCTCATAAATCACCCATCATTAAATGGGCAAAGGTGCTGAAAGAGTCTTCAAAAAAAATTTACTGAAGCTTCTCACGGCTTCTCACAACATTGCCAGCTGGTACACTAGTACAGATGGGTTCCTAGACCTCTCACCTAGTGGGAGAGGCCTGTACTATAAGGGGCCCACCCACCAGAAGGTAATTCCAGTTTTTATGGGTCCCCTCTTGTATATATATAAATGTATGTGTATGTGTATGTGTGTGTATCTCCAAATATGTCTGAATTTCCAACATTCACATTTTCTGTGTGTTTATTCTGTACTCAAATAGTATTTATATGTATTCCATGTTAGAGCTTTTGAGCTGAAAAAGACTTTGGAAATGATCCAGTATAAAAAACCCTTTCATTTTACAGCTAGAGTGCTTAGGTCTAGAGATGTTAGAAGCCTGCCCTACATCAAACAGGTACCTAATACAGAGTCGAATTCTACTGATCACCAGACCACAGCTTTGCTCACATCAACACATTTCATTTCCATCAGAACAAATGAACAAGAAAAAAAAAAAAAAAAGACAAGGCCAAAGTAAATCCCTTTCATCCATGTTACTGCAAAAGACACACATTGAGAGCAAAAATAAATTCTAAAACCCTTTTTTATGTAGGTCAATAGTCTGAAATGTCCAGGTGTAATACATATGAAGACTAATAGGAAAACAATTATTGACATTTTGGAATTGGAACAGAGTAACTGGTCATCTTCTCAGGTCACGATGAGAAAATCTCAGCTTCCCTGTTGACTTACCCAGCTCTCCAAGCTGAGACCCAGGGGCCACATTTCCATTTTCTTGGCTCTTGCCTTTTCACTGAACTTAAAAGAGGCTCCAGGTACAGTCCTGAAGCTGGTGGCCTTGTAGTGTGTAAGGAGGAAGCAGAGTTTGGCACCCCAAAATATGCCTCTGGATATATTGAATATTAAGCTGGTTATTTTCTTAAATTAATTTTTAGAGAGAGAAAGCTGTGTGTGTGTGTGTGTGTGTGTGTGTTTGTGTAAGAGAGAGAGACAGACAGACTGACAGAGAAAGAGTTGTTGTTCCACTTATTTATGAATTCATTGGTTGACTCTAGTATGTACCCTGGCCTGGGGTCAAACCAGCAACCTTGGCGTATCAGGCCAGTGCTCCAAGCAACTGATCTACCCACCAGGACAAAAAGGGTTATTTTTAAGAAAAGAAAGACTCACCCTGGCTGGTGTGGCTCAGTGGATGGAGTGCTGATCTGTGACCTGAAAGGTCGCCAGTTCAATTCCCAGTCAGGGAACATGCCTGGGTTGCAGGCCGGGTCCCCAGTTTGAGGGCATGGGAGATACAACAGATGGATATCTCTCTCCCTCTCTTTCTCCCTTCCCCTCTCTCTAAAACTAAATTAATTGATTTTAAAAAGATTTAGTTGAAAAAAAAGAAAAGAATCATATACAGATCTAGTATCACACAGAAATAAAACATTTGAAACCAATATGATCCTATTAACCAATGTTGCCCCAATAAATTCAGTAAAACATTTTTAAAAAGTAAAGAAAAACCTTTGACCTTCCCTGTTACTGCCTAAAAGGAATTTAGATAGAGGATCTGCTCACAGAAGGGAGCCATCATCATAGATAACTACAGTGTAATATGAAGTAGTGTGTTATAGACAGGGGGGAACCTAACAAGGCCCATTTAATCGAAGTCCTCTCTGTGTCCCTTTGTTAAAGATGGCCCAGAAAACATTAATTTACCGAACATTTGTTCTTCTATCTCCATGTGACTTGCCTTACTGCCCTTTGAAATTCCTAACAACAACTCCCTCCCCTTTGTACTTAGCTCAAAAAGACAAATAAACCTTTACCCAATTTATCTCACCTACCAGACTGCTGGATGGAGAACTGTCTGACTCATTCTATGGGCTGCTTTTTCACTCTGTTGGTAGCTGTTTGTGCACAAAAGTTTTTAATTTTGATGCAATCCAATGTATCTAATTTTTCTTTTGTTAACTCTTTTTGGTGTTATATTTTGGGGTGGCAAGCACTGCTCCCCTTCAGAATTGGGATTGAAGGATAGGGAGGAAGCAAGGGCAATTGGACTTTTACATCAGTAGCAAGGCAATACTAGCACATTGTTGGGGTGAGGATTAAACTAGATGGATGCCATTTCCAGGCTTATAAAACTAATACGAATGTAGGGCATGGCTCTTGTTGCTGAAGGTAGGAAGGCTTGAATATGACCTGGAAGCCCTGTAGCCCATTTCCACTGAGGAGCTCAAAGCACCTTCGCAGTTTTGACTCAGTCCTTTGTCTTTGACTTCTCACCTTGAGTCTGAACTCAATCCTCCAACAACATGGATGAATATTGAGGCATTACACTCAGTGAAATAGGCCAATCATAAAAGGACCAATATTGTAGGATTCCACTTATATGAGTTACCTAGAGTAGTCAAATTTGTATATACAGAAAGTACAATGGTGGTTGCCAGAGGCTGAGGGGAGGTGAGAATGGGGAGTTCCAAGGTTTGTAAGATGAAGAGAGTTCTGGAGATGGATGGTGGTGATGGGTATTCAATAATGTGATTGTACTTAATGCCACTGAACTATACACTTGAAATGATTGGGATGAAAAATGTTATGTTATGTGTATTTTACACAAATTTTTTTCTAACAGAATTATGAGGTTGGAAAAAACCTCACAAAAACCTAACCTTATCCTGGTAGTTATAATGAGCCAGACTCTCACAGACCTGCTGGTGAGAAAGCAGATTCATCAACTCTTTAGAGAACAATTCTAAGGAGAACTTCTGAAAATTTGCCTGCTCTGTCCAGTCCCAATACCTTCAGCACAGAGTGGGTTGAGCTCCACTCTGGAGTATACAAGGGTGAAGGATGTGGTTACATGCAGATCATCAGTCAACCAAGATTTCTCTGGTCAAGAGCTCTGGGAGGTTTCTGTAGGTTTCTATTTGCAAACCCCATTCTGTGGGTTGCCTTTTCACTCTGTTGATAGTGTCTGTTCATGTACAAAAATTTTGATTAAATCCAGTGTATCTCTTTTATCTTTTGTTGGCTGTGTTTTTGATGTCATATCTATAATGTAGGTTTTTAAAAATAATTTTATAAATTCAAATACTGGAGCCAAAATTCTTTCCATTTTTCAGTTGGAGAAACTATTACTCAAAGAAACTGATGGTCTTAACTCCATCTCAACACTGGTTAGTAAGCTCCGGGCTGAGGACCCATACCCTGGTCTCCCTTCAGGGACTCTGCAAGACAAGACAGGTATGCTGGTGAGAGGTGGAGCAGGTCTTCAGATTAACTTTGAGGAACCCTGTGGTGTCATTAACTACTAAAGTGAAAAAAAGTGCCAATTTTTGTATTTTTCTTTACTAGGCATGTACGTTTCCCCCTAATGCTCAAAAAAGAAAGCTTCTGGAACGGACAGTCCGTGAAATATTTTAGAACATATTCATTTCTGGGCACTAGAATGAATCCATGCGTTGGTTACACCACATCACCAAGTCCTCAGGAAAGAAAATCTGTCAAACTGTAGCCTCTGCGCAGCCAGAATTGCACCGCTTTTGGTGTGCTCGTAAATTACGCGGTAATCTTTCATTTCATAGTTATTGAAGAAAGTTCCTTTACATCTATGCCTCCTCACAGCTCCATTCACCACTTAAAGTTTTAAAGCAATGGGCCTGTATAGAAGTTTTCTAAAAGGAAAAATAACATAGTGGGGCAACAATGAAAGGAATTTACTATGAAGCTGCTCTCCCTTTTGTAGTAAAATAGGGTCGACAAGTTCGGGCCGAGAGTGTAAGGGTGACTTTTCCAACCAAGGGGAGTGTGGTGTGTTTTTTGGTCTCTGCCTGTCTCCTGGAAGTTCGAAGAGTTGTAATTCTGCTCCGAGTTCTGCAGGGACTGTTTAATGGTGACTTCAGGTTTAGCGAGAGCTCTCCCCAGGTGGCAGTGAGCTGTCCTATTTCCTTCGGGTGTCAACTAGCGCACTCGGAAACTTGGAATCCTGAGGACGACTTTTTCCCCCAGTTTAACCCTCCACGCCCCAGAGCCATTTGGGAAAGGGACAACCATACCCTGCCACTTCTGCGACACTGCTGTTCCCTAGCTCTCTCACTCCACACGCTAGGTAGATAGGGTGTAGAAACCAGCTCAGAAGCAGCACCTTTCGCGCACACCGAGAAGAACGCTGAACTACCTCGAAGACTTCGTTCTGCTGCTCCTCCAAAGGGAAAAAGAACTTGGAAGGGCGAAAGCGAGGAGAAACACGGCTAGAAAGTGACAAGGCAGGGGAGAACGCAGGCCCGAGGGCTGGGCGGGCGCGGGAGGGCGCGAGAGGGGCGCGGGCGCGGCAGCCGGCGCGCCCCGGAGGGCCAGGGGGAGGGGCGCTGGCGGGCGCGGCGCCTCCCGCCTGGGGTGAGCGGCGCGCGCGTCAGCCCCGCGGCACAGATCGCCAAGCGGGGAGCGCGGGTCGGTGTCGGCGGCGGTGAGCGAGGGCTGGAGCGCTGAGGGCCGACGCGCGGCGCGGCTGCCATGGGTGCGCAGTGACTGCTGCTCAGCGGGAACTTCCTTGGCGGCGCGGGGCTCCCTGGCTAGCGGTGCGTCTCCTCCGTCACCATGAAAGGTAGGGCGTTGGCGGGACCGGGTGGGCTTCGGGCAGTGCGGGAGGGGGTGAAGGTGCGTCCCTGCGCATACCTTTTCGGGGTGGGGAGCCGGGTAAGAGCGGGCGCCGGGTTGGTGCGTGCACACTTGCGGCGCTTCGGCCTCCGGGGTTGGGTACGGCAGGAGTCCCAGAGTTTGGGATTCGGAAGTTTGCAAGTATTCTCCTTCCTATCATGTCTCTGCGAAACAGTTTGAAGCCTTAAGTCGTTGTTTATGGATTCCAGTTTCCAACTTTTTAATTGAAAAAAGATGCCGAGGAGAGTGGAGGTATCATCATTCCCTCGAGTCTGCTTTCCGCTCTGCGGTGCTCCCCACTCTCCAGGGTCCGTTTTCCTCCCCGGTCTTGCAGTTTCTCCATCCTAGAAGTCGATGTGCGGTCGGCCGGGTGTTTTCTCCTGGACTCGGGGATGTTCTCGGTGCGCCCTCCCCACATCTGGCAATGATTAGGTGCCCGCGGAGTTCAGCTGGCTCGGGAAATGCGTTTGGCATCTTTCTCCATGAGACCCACTCACTGGAAAATAACTGCCCGCGGTTCCACGTCTCCCTATGTGCCCGCCTGTGGAGTTGGTGTGCCCACGTGTATTCAGGGGTGACACAAACCATCCCGTTAATCGTCCTCTGGGCCGTGTCCCCTGCAGGCTGGTTGAGGGAAGTGTCAGATGTGACGTCCCTTTAAACAATCACAAGGGAAAGGGCTTTGCAGGGCAATCTTTAGTTTAGTAGAAATAAAAGGATTTGTCAGCAGAACCTTGATTTATATGTGAGATAAATAATTGCAGCGGGAGGCATCAGAGGGAATTGTTTGGGGATGGGCCGGCGTGTTGTATACACAGGACTCGAGTTCCTGGTTCCGTACTAAGATAACACATTTAAGCCCGGGTGCTGGGCTGATGTGAGGGGTCTGGGTGCGAAGTCCCTTGAGACCTCGGTGACCGAGTTTCCAGCCGCCTTCAACGTGAAGAGATTGCTCTGACTTGCCAGGGTTGTTGTCTGAGGGAGGCGCCTAGGGAGCCCCACACGGCTCCAGAAGTAACTTTGGGCTCTAAGTTTCTCTGAAGGCAGTTCTCGCTAAACACTCCATAGTGTATGTCCTACCAATTACGTCTCCTTCTGAGGCGTTACATCTCTACATCAGGAGCCCCTAGGAAGGGAGAGGACCGAACTGCAGGTAAAGAGTGGCCCGTCCCAGGGGAAGAGAAGCAGAAGATATGATACAACTTTCTGGCTAGAGAATTTCAAAACGCAGTGTGTGTTCCTCCCCTCTCCATCTCAGTTTCTCTTCTCTCATTTACATTTTAGGAAGCACGCACGTTGCTTAGCTAGCACTGATTAAAGGACCCTTCCAGAAAGGAAAGAGTACACATGGCCAGAAGTTACTCTGGGGCTCAGTTACCCTCATTTTAGGCAAAAGTTAGTCTTCTTGTTGCTGGTCACTGAAGCCAGTAGTTTTTGAACTCTTGGAAGGGTAAACCAGCCACTCACTCTTGTGGACTCCTAAACCCTGAAGATCGTCTTATGCTTTTGACTAGGTAAATGACTTTTTGCTGTTTGGATACTTAAGTGTAATTTCAAATCTGCAATAGAAAATACCTAAAAATTATAAACATATTTTTGTGAGATTTACACTGCATTCTAGATCAGCTTAAGAAGGCTCATTGCTTACCCCCTGCAGTCTGGACACTGCGTAAAAAGCCCAAAGTACCTTCTGCGCCCGTGGGGGAAGGGGGATCAGGGACTGGTGAATCCCTAGGCAGACTTGTCACTTTGAAACTCTTTTAAAAAATTAAATGTTCTGTAAGAGGTTTGCTTACCAACTATTGCCATATAGTTTACATTCTGTTGTCTGTCTGTTGAGGCGTGTAGCATAGGGGACAATAATAATTCTTAGTATCTAAGTGCCAGATACTATACTATACTATACTATACTATACTATACCCTCTCCAAGCACTCTGTCAATCAATCCTCTCAACAACCCTATGGGGTAGGTATTTTAACCCCCATATTTATTTATGCATGTATGTATGTATGTATGTATGTATTTTCAGAGAGAGGGGAAGGGAGGGAGAAAGAGAGGGACAGAAACATTGATGTGAGAGAGAAACATTGATTGGTTGCCTCTCGTACACGTCCTGACCAGGGACCAAACTGGCAACCTGGGCATGTTCCCTGACAGAGAATGGAACCGGTGACCTTTCACTTTGTGGGGACTCCCAACCAATTGAGCCACACCAGTCAGGGCTTAACCCCCACATTTCATATGTGGAAGCTGAGTCAAGAAGAAATAGGAATTGGCAATGAGAAGGATGGTAGTAGGCCTCTATAAAGACAAGCATTGCCAGTTTGCCTGTATTGCTTGGAAAGACCTAGGACACCAGATGTGATAAACTCTAGTGTAGACTAGAGGAGAATCTCAGACAACTAAACAGTCAAGTAACCCAAAGTTGGTACAGCAGCCAGAAAGGGGTGAGGCCAAGAAATTGGGCACAAGGTTTCTGAAGCCAAGCACAGAGTGCCTTTGTAGCCAAAAGGGAAAGCTGTCTTTACAAGTGGAATTATTTTGATAGTTTGCCATAGGTAAACAACCCAAAGATTTCCTTGGGTTTATGATTAGTGTCACAGTTATTAACTCATTATGCTTCAGAAAGGCAATGTTTCATTAGACTTTGATTTTCCTAAATGATAGATGTCAATGACAAGCCTTGCGAATTCTTCAAGTCAAAGTATTAACCTAAAACAGTCTTTAGCCAAATAGAAAATTAGTGGACACCTTAGAAGTTATAGAAGTTTATTTTCCAAAGCAAAAAATTAGCTCCTGTGCAAATCAGATGCCTTTTTAAGGTACGTATTTGACTTTCTAATTCTGATATTTATACTTCAGACAGTACCTTTTTAGTAACCCAGGCCATGTAATTTCATTGTCTGTCTTGAGCCACAGCGCCACCTATCTGTTGCATTCAGCAAATATCTGTCTCTTCTCTTTCCTCCACCCCTGGAGTCAAGTACCAAAATAATGACATCACTATATATTTTCCAGAAGAAAATTACTTACCCCATTGCTTCAATACTTGGAGTCTTCCAAACTGATTAAAACATGAAGTTGGTTTTAATTTACTTACAATTTCATTTTCAATTAGCTGTACTGCACTATAAATCTCATAGTTTTGGAAAAATACACTTTTTATGAAGGAATCTGAGTCCTCTAGAGCTAGGTCATTACTAAAGTGTCATTACTAAATCACATTCCTGTTTCTGAAAGTTGAGAATATTGGTGAGTTTCAGTGCAGCAGCACTTTCTGCTTAAGAGACGGCTGAAAACAACTACCAGCACATGGGACCACAGAGGCCCAAACCACTGTCATAATTTAACACAGAGAGGAGGTCGGTGCCATCAAAACATAGTGTTCAGCTACTTATTTTTGTGCTTTTAACATAAAAATTGCTGCAATCCTATTTGGCAATGATACTTTCAAAGTGCACTAAAAAGCAGTAGACTTCTACTTCCTGTTGTTTTTTGGAGGGGAGGGACCCTTGATCGCCTTGCTTTCTCAGTATCTCTTTTTAACAATTTTTTTAAACTACCATTTATGTTCAATATTATTTTTGTATTGGTTTCAGATATACAGCATAGCACTTAGACAGTCATATACTTTAGAGAGTGTTCCCCTAATATTTCCAGTACGTACCTGGCACCATACACAGTTATCACAATATTATTAACTATACTCCCTATTCTGTACTTTACATCCCCATGACTATTTATAGTTACCAATTTGTACTTCTTAATCCCTTCACCTTTTCACCCTGTCCTCCAACCTCCCTCCCCTCTTAGTATCTCTTTTAAGATTTCTTGTCCTTAACTGGGATAAGCAAACAAGTGTGTAAGAGCTGACTGCATTTATCATGGAAAGATTCAATGTTTTCTGAAGGGAAATGGAAACAAAATGAGGCCTTTTCCCCTTCAATGATTGGGAATTGGGGCTGCGCTTCCCCTGGAAGGCAAATTTACAATCTAATTATACTTTTAACTTTTCATTAGTTTGGGGATGCTTGACATTCTTAATCTGAGGTTTAATTATTGCTAAGTACGGATTCTTTTCTGTGGTCTCCGATGCAGTTTCCTAAGATTGTTCCCTTTCCCCACCCGCCTTTCCATGTGTCTCATCCACTGATAGTGACGTGAATGGGAAAAACTGGCAGATGATAACTTTCAAGTTATATCATAACGAGGTGTCTAATTTTCTGATTAATGCTTATTCTCATTAAAATATTACTTCAAAACAGTTGGTACAACTACTGCCAAAGTAAGTTAAGTAGCCCCTGAAGTATTAGTTCTCAGATGGGAAAATAGACATTTAAGTTTTGTGATAGAAAAAGTATGTTTTGCCTTGGGCCACCCCAGCATGTGAGTAATCTCTCAGGGGGCAAAGTCTGACACATGCGTCTCCCCATGGTGGGAAGAAGGTGTGGAGTTCTAGGAGAGGAAGCCCAGAGGGGTGGCAGACCCCAGCCTTCCTGCTGGCAGTATGTGGTGGGGATGCTTTGCAGCTTCAGCTAGTGAATCAGAGTGAAAAGGATCAGGTAGTGTGTGTGGGGGGCGGGAGGGGGGGCAGGCAGCATTCTAGGTCTTTGATGTAATTATCTGTGGAGAGCCTCTACCCCAGCCAAAAGGTCAGCTCCACCAGTCTGGTCCTGCCTTTTCCGTCTTTTGCTTGTCTGCCACTCTGAAGGCACAGCCTCTCTCAACTTCTGGAGTTCCTGCCTGTGGCCTTGAGGCAGGGAACAGGGTCATGTGTTGGAAGGTAAATGCCAAGGATGACGTTGATCTGTACTGTGGTTTGCACTTACAGCTTTTAAGGTATGGCTCATGGGCCACTTAATATCTGCATTTATTATTTTTCCCTTTTATAATAGCTAACATTATCAAGTACTTGCTATGCCAGGCTTTATTATGTCCTCTATTT